AGAATCATTTCCTGTACATAAAAAAAAATCACGATGAAATAAATTGCCAATTATCTGCTTTGTCTTTTGTTTCAGTACGAGGGTGAAAATGGTCAGGAATAATAATTCTACTGCAGTCCTTGGAAAAATTAGACATCAATAGCCTTTGAAATTAAGTAGCAAAGGGAACGAACACAATTACGTATATATGTCTATATACACAGATGATTTGAGATATAAACTTATAGCTAGCTGATTGCAAGCACCTCTGAAAACTGGCAATGAACGTGGATATATCATAGTCAGCATCACAGATTCCTAGCCACCGTTGTCTCCTCCTGCCGATCTTCATACACCACACCAGGTACACATTTTAGGCTGTGTTGACCTATGAGAGGCCAATACTTCATTCAGATACCACTTGCCACTGGTGATTTGCATAGCCAGTAACATAACCCAGGTCACCCAGATCATAATCTAGTGAGAAAACCAAGATGACGCCAGCTCCATTGCACGCAACACACTATAAAAACAACAAAAACAAATGCTGAGAATAGGTTTTCCCCTAAAAGGCGTCCTCCGGTCTTTGGTGTCTTTGATGTTAGACCAGAGGACGCCAAATGTACTGGCTGAAGCTACTGCAACGAGGACACATGGGAGGTCTGCATGAAGGGATTACCACGGTCGATATGCATCGATATAAAGACACGGGTCAATGATTTGAGGTCGCGAACAGGAAAGGGAGCAAACCAGAAAGTTGTCGGAAATAAAGCAAGATAGGTTTGACCACAGCCACCACCTGCGCACACATGTTCGGGTCGCGGTGAAATAAAACACCCAGGTCATAGACTTTGACACAAGGTGCATAGCCAGAGCCCGCTTGTAAGCAAAATGTTTACGTCACCCTGTGGTCCAACCTGGATCTAGCATCAGAAGCCATGATCATTACCTCCGTCTTGTCAGGATTTAGCTTTAGCCAATGTTGCTTCAGATATACGGCTGACACCTCGGACAAATCGTCAGACAGTGCAAATTCATGCTCAGGTGTGCCGGTAAATGAGACGGAGATCGATGTTATGAACATACTGTAGTTATGGCAGGACAGACCATGCTTCCGGATGATGCTCCCCAGTGGCCAAACATACTCGCTGACAAGCAGTGGTGACAAAACAGATCCCTGCGGGACTCCAAACAGGACAGGCCCCTCAGGTGACAGGGGGGGAGCCGATGGACACTCTGAGGGACCTACCTGACAAATAAGGTGATCAACTTTTAGATGGTTCTGCCAATCACTGCTAGGGCATGGTTTCCAAAATGCAGGTGGTCCAATTTATCCCGGGAGCAAGTTTTGTGAGGATTGGGGTGAGACACCTGGGGCAAGCCTCTCCAAGAAGAGAGGAGCCTCTGTAGTGAAATTGACCATGGGACAAACTGTAAGGCAGATTGCCTTCTGGGCGAGATATATAGTGTTGGTGAAAAACGATGGGAAATCTCTTGCTTCAGGATGTAGCAGACTGTCAACCATCTAGGAAGAGCCGAGCAGGGAAGTTTTTTGCTGAACCAATCTTCCTGGCGACAAAAAAATGTTTTGTCAGAAAGGCCGCCTCGAGGTACTCGGCATTGGCAGACTACAAGGACTATCCGGTCAGTATCACGGTGAGCTATACGCCAACGTACAATATATCCTGTGCCTATGGGATAATACAGCCCTGGGGGGGGGGGGGGGAAGGGGGGAGAAAGCTAAGTTCCCCAACTGTTATGCCCTGAGAAAAGATTCGGTCAAATATATGGCCATGATCATGAGTTGCACTACAGACAGACTGGGTAAAGCCCATGGACCCCATTGTGTCCAATATATCTGTGGTAAGTTCATCCATGGAATCACCAACCCAAGATTTGAAATCCCACAGCACAATAGGGTGTGGGAATTCCAAAATCAGCACAGAGAACACCTCTGATAAATTATGCACAAAATTGCACCTGTAACCAGCCTGTATATTATACCAAGAGACCAGCATGTGGTTTAGCAGTCGGGGATAATCCCTTAACTGCATCTGAGTATGAATGAAGCTTCCATTTTACTGGTAGGAACCTCCTGGTTACACCAGCCCACAGGGGATTATTGTGTCCGTCCGTCGTGCATCCAAAAATGGGAGGGGTGGGGCTGGGTGGAGAGGGGAGGGTGGGGAGGGAGGGAGGGAGGGAGGCGGACACGGCACACACGAGGGGGGGTGAGTGGCCACCAACCACGTCCGGTCATCTTCACGACATTTTTCTCTCCACGTGGAGAATCAACAACATGCGTTTGGAGTATGCGGCTGCTCTCAATCTCGACATTATAAGCCGCCAATTCGTTGAGCCATCACTCGAGGCAAGGTCACTTCGGAATCGTATACAGCTCAGTGGGCCCTGCCCGGTAAAAATAAAACATTTAGTTGAGCACCGTACACATTTCTGCACATTGGGAGCTACTGCTATACGAGGTGCGGTTCCTGTTTTGAAAAAACCCACACCATTCATCCTGGGTCGATAAAATAGGTACCGCTTTGTGGGGAAGCCAACTGCGCTTGTCTGTGTACACCTATGTTAACCACACTCTGTGTGTACACCTATGTTAACCATAGTGGGTGTGCACACCTATGTTAACCACAGTGTGTGTGTACATCTATGTTAACCACACTGTGTATGTACATCTATGTTAACCAAATGCCAACGTTGGCTCAACGTTGCATGTGTACTGGGTTTGAATGAAAATGTTGTTTTCTCGATGGAGTAATTTTTGCCCTTTTATATTTTTCAACGGTTTTACTTCACTTGATGTGAACACCTATGTTAACCACACTGTGTATGTATACCTATGTTAACCACGCTGTGTGTCTGTGTACACCTATGTTACTGGTAGGAACCTCCTGGTTACACCAGCCCACAGGGGATTATTGTGTCCGTCCGTCCGTCGTGCAGGGAGGGGCTGGGTTGGGTGGGGAGGGTGGGGAGGGGCTGGGTGGGGAGGGTGGGGTTGGGTGGGGGGTGGGAGGGGTGGGGCTGGGTAGAGAGGTGCTGGTCACCCCGTGGTGCCCTTATAAAACTCAATGTTTAACCTACTCACGTTGGCTTGTGCCCGCCCTCACAGTCGGCCATATTTGCGGAATACACCACGCCGCCATTGACCCTGGCCATTGACCGAGCAACCCAACGTTCCTACCAGCTCCCTCCGCAGGAATGTGTTATTAGGTATCAATACCAGATGGAAATTCAACTTACACAGGTTTGGAAGCTTTTAAAAGAACGTTGTCAAAAATAATGTTAAATAGAGCAAAAGCCAGAGGACATCGCTATCTCACCCCAAGGTGAACAGGCCCTCTCTCATGAAGGTCCTTACTGATCATGAGCAGAGGGTCAGAGATGCTGAAAGCATGAAAAAACACTTTTATAGACCTTAACTAGGTAATCAGTGCAGTCCTTCTTATATTGGAGGACCACGAGGGCATCCTTACTATCCTTTCGAGACTCATCCTGTGGTCCATGTATTTGTAAGGCAACCGTGCACACAATTGCCACCTTCCACCAGAAATTTGTTTGCTAACCACTGCGCCACCACTCCCTACACCACAAACACCCACATACACACACAAACACTCGGTAATACAAACCACATTAGTTGTAATGGACATTTCTTTACGATGTGCATCAACGATTCCATAATTTGACCTTGGTGTCTGTAAAGCAGGACGAATGGAAGAACGTTTACTTATTGACTTTTATTAAATTAAGTGTTCATTTGTATGCATGGTAACAGTTTTAATGGACTATCATTTAGTAATTACAATCGTGCTGCTACAGCTGATATTAGCTATACCTAAATTGCTACTGAATTATTAGTGTTTGATGAACATGAACATTAAATAATAAGCATCGACTTTACCGATGAAATGGAACGGTTTTGTCTCCTGAAATAATTATCCCGCTCGAATCTCACACCCATCAGACAAGGCCACCGCAGACCAACCAGGACATCAACCATGGTATAAACACTTCTAAGTGTTTTACGAATTTTGATATTTCAATTCACAATGTAATCAAACCCACGTGAACCTAATTTCAGCCAATCAGCGTCGATGTATCGATTGGCAGGTGAATTAATAAACTGAGCTTTTTTTGTGTGATTTGTATATATATTGTTTTTTTAAGTTGCTTCAAGCAGTGGCACGCTTGGTGATAACAAGTGTTATCATCAGCACGGTATTATATGCTTTATTATTATTATATTTTTAAGCATATCGATGAGCTCGCACAGGTGTTAAATACGAGTTCAGATCATGCTCAAGGGTCAACTAAGCCCATTATCGCTCCGTGGTCAATAAAACCAGCACTGCTTTGTAAAAAGTCAACAGGTGGTTTCGTTTTACGAACAGTCGCATCGTCCCGACGCAGCCAATTAGTAATGTTTTGTTGAGTAAACAAAACATACCAATTCGTTACTAGTTCAGCACACCGGTGTGTTGGAGAGCAAACCCACAACATTCACAATTAGAATACGACGCTTCGCCCCTAATTACAACCAGCCTCATCAGGCGACAGCCAGAGTTGTGGAGAAATCATCCTCCTGTTTCCGTTTGAAATAGGTCTGATTGTCCTCGCCGGAATGTGGAATTTCCACCGCCCACTCAGTGAGGCCGCTGATGTACAGAGGTTCTACCTCTCAGCGGGCGGGGGGTAAACGTACGACGTCTGACTGTCAGTACGAACAAGCTGATAACGGTACTGATATACAAGTCATTTTGTGGCATTTTAATACATTTAGACCCATTGGGTCAATGTGCGTCGAGGGGCGCGCCTGCCTCGGTCCCTGGCCCAGACGTGCAGATGCAGCAGTGTGGGTGGTGCCGTTCGCGAGACCTGGGAGCGACAAGAGGCTGTATGGTGGGGGAGCTGTTGTCGGGCATGGATTGAGAAGCGTGGATGCACACGCACGCCCCGGGTATTTAAGTGGCTGCTTGGGAAGCTTTAGATCCAGTGGAACTGGGAAAAGCATGAAGAGAGAGAGAGAGCGTTCATCCTCTAAGCCACATTCAATCCCCCAAGAAGTCACAATCACCCCCACCAGAGGAGAGAATCACGCAGGAGCACCAGCAATAATGCACTGCCCGTAGGAGGAGGAAAGAAGGTAAAGCTGCTGTGTATACTTTATAAGGAGATGTAATGTAGACTTGCCTTGTATCGTTTGCTTGCTATGTCAGACATAAACATCGTGTTATATGCAACGTGTGTTATTAATATTGAATCTATTCTGCTACAGGGCGCTGTACATATAGGTTATATACTGTGTTTATATACAGCCGAATGAATAATGAATTAAATGATGAGATTAATGTTTTTTTTTTATGTATATCAATATTGGTTATTCTATGTGTGAACTGGCTCATGTCATATGAATGTGGAATTTCCATGGTGATTTAGCCTTGGGGTTTAGACGCATACGTGTAACATGTTTAAACACATATTCTTGGTTCCTTTGGTAAAGTCACATAGAAGGGAAATAATAAAATAATAAAAATGAAACAATTAAATTCTCACGACGTTTCGATCGCAACACAAGCAATCATCATCAGGTGTGAAACCCACAGCAAGAAAATACGACGTTAAGTAAAAAAATCGCCACTTTTTTCAAAATTTCTTGCTGTGGTTTTCACACCTGATGATGATTGCTTGTGTTGCGATCGAAACGTCGTGAGCATTTTATTGTAAAATTTTATTATTTTATTATTTCCCTTCTACGTGACTTTACCGAAAGAACCAAGAATATGAATCCCTGCAGCCACGGAAGCTTTAAATCGAAATGTTTAAACACAACTGTTAGCAGCTAACCGATAAATGAAACTATTGCAAATCTTAAATTCTGTTGTGAATAATGGGATAGATAAAATGTACAGTCAATTCGTTTTCAAATGCCTCTAGGTTTTAAATAAACACTAATCGATGTTTCAATAATTGTAAAAACGTTAACACAAAAGTGGGTTACAATAAGATTTGTTATCTATGTATTTTTATTGGTTGTGCGTATGCTTAGGATTAGCATGGCAGGACTGTGTGGAATGACCTTCACTCAGCAGTATGTAGATCATGGCCAGTAATGATATGGTGATGCCTGTATTCAAATGGCCAGTGATTTCGCCTATAATTTGGACACCAAAATATATCAGCCACATGTATTTTCAAGGGGTAACATGCAGCATTACCTACATGTAAGCAAATTCTGAGAAATACGACAAAATATGTAATACTAACTTTAGGGTAAAACCATTTGTTGGAGCCTTACATTTTAACTGCAATGTTATTTTATAAATAACGTACAAAATATTAATCGGTACTAATGTAAAAAAAGATGTGGTCTTATAAAGTGGAGATTTCCAATGAGAACCTCAAAAAAAATAACTGTCCAGAAACACAGTAATCATAAAATAAACTACGACACAGGGTGAACACCGTTTTGTATTACGAGTGAAATATTCAATTGTTTAGATAGTGGAGAATGCTCTACCAACATAGTGGATCTAACCAAGTTGTGGGAAATCTACATTACTATGGCAGGGACCACCAGTCTCTGCATAAGACGACACAGTGCTGGCTTCTTCATTAAGCAGTGCAACTTCAGTCGGTTATACTAATTTTATCACAGGCGGAGGGATAATAAAAACAATAACAGAGGTTGTTGGGTTAGATCGTGTGAATATAAATGTCCTTAAACCTGCCGCCACCCGACACAGCCAATTAGTAAGGGTTGTCACGTAAACGAAACATGCCAATTAGTTACTAGTTCAGCATACTGGTGTGTTGGAGAGTAAACCCACAACATTCGTTATATATTTATATAGCAAGCACAGGCACAGTGTATAATATTGGTCGCGAAAGCATACGTGTTAAACATAATGAGAACGGGCCAAATTCAAAATGTAACGAATAATCCTGCTTGTTCATTACACAGTGCCGAGTATATGCTCTACATATTTACTCCTCAGAGTTATGTTGAATTATATATTGTTTAGAGTATACGCATGTTTTCTTTATATCTATGCATGAGAGTCTGTTTTTTAAAATTCGTATTTCACTTGAAAGCCATGGTGGGAGAGGTGTAATTTCAGGAATTTGGATTTAGTTTGATTGCAAGGCATGGCTAATTCAGGCTTGTGATATTGCATACGTCTGAGTCATTCCACAGTACAAAGTCATTGACTCTAAATGGCCAGTGCCAATACACTAAGAATAGGTTTTACGCTTTATATCAATAAAACAGGTGTTAAGATGTTCAAACACCAAATAGAAACCTTTTGCAAGGACTCAAGTCTGCCACACACACATTACTTGTGGTGAACATGCAAACATCTCAACAACAGTGTTATTGCCAGAAAGGATTAATCCTATTCTTATTTGTTCATACTTTGATAGTGGCAAAAATGTCCCATTTTGCCAATACACTATTATGCCTGCGTCAAGTAGACTTGAATGCATTCTTAAAGATTATATTCGTTTTCACACGATGTGAATTCACAACAATACAAATGTGTTATTTCACCAACACCACTATCAGCCATGATCTATCCACTACTGAATGGAGGCCCTCACCAAGTTTCAATATCTCATGGTTTTGCAATGCAACAAGCCACACACCTGCACACGAGCCGATGTTATCGCTCTATCGCCGTGGTAGAAATCCTCTTGGGGACATTGCCTCCTTTGGCTGACAGTAATTATTCACTCCTACTGGCCATCATTTCTTCTCATGATGTGTCATACCCAAGCTCACTTTTCTTTTTCTTCACCATCATCATTTTTTTCCATTTATGACTGTGATTCTGAACCACGTGTCATAGCAGGTAATGGTATTTAACTTTCCGTGATCGAGTTCAGATTTCCCAAAATACAACGCAAATAACATGCTCTCGTCTGCCTCTTTATTAAATAGTTTTAAGGCGCTCTTTCTTCCACCTCCAACGCAGCTTATATATAAGCTCCTAGCTTGGCATTGTCTCATTCTTCACCTGAAGACGGCTGCTTGCGTTGTAGCCGAAACGTCGTGAGAATTATTTTATTTTATTATGTTTTATTTTTATTATTTTATTACTTCCCTTCTACGTGACTTTACCGAAAGAACCAAGAAGATAAATAGTTTTAATTTTGGTCTCTCTGCAAGTGCTGCCCTGGGTACACACACACTCTCTCAACAGATATCTCCCACTCGTGTACCAAATGTCATACGTGGCTTTTAGTTGCCCATATTTATCCTGAGCCCTGGACTTTGCAGCCTACTTTTTAAAGTATTTTCTAACAATGCCTTCAGTTCATTCCGATTGCACGTTCTGATTTATGTTTTGAGCAGATCGTTGCTTTCACCACCCTCATAGAAGCTGGTTTCCAGCGTTAACAGAAAACTGACCAAAGCAACGATTGATCTCGCTGCAGCCTATGACAGTTTGGCGCCATGGCCTGCCACTGAAAGTTGGCCAAAATCATCAGATGTCGTTCTACTGTACACCTAATTGATGCGATGCTCGGCAACCAGTGCCAGATTATCCTAGTAGCAAAAGTAGCATATGATCCTTATGACGGTACCCTGGGGTACCAAATAATACAAAATGGCCGCGGCAAATAAATATTTTATTTCTGGAACACAATTTTTTCCAGGGGTTTATTTAACTCCGCTACTGGTGTACTAATCAATCCGAAATCAGTGCTACTCTACGATGTCGAAACGCCAAACATGAGCATAAAAAATCCGTGATCGAAAATTTATATTTCGAAGAGTGCATCGTGTACAGCTCGTCGAGATGAGTCGATTGCCGCATTGCAGACCATCAACAGACTAAAAATGACTGCATCACGGAAATTATGCGAGAGCCGAGGAACTATGGTACCTCGGGGTACCGCCACAAGATTCATATGCTACGGGTCCCGCACTTTCAAGGGCCCCACGCTAAATACTTTCAAGCTATCAATTCCGGTTCAGTGATTCTGCACTTGCTCTAATACTATAGTACTATACTGTCTTCAACTTTTATGAACGACTGGGTGTTTAAGGTTAGCGATTTGTCACATTATCTGGCTGTATATAAAATGAAAAAATACAATTACTTTACTACTCAGGTTAAAATGTGTGTTAATATTTATGTTTTTTTAGGACCCCTTTATAACTTATGCTACAGGCCCTGCACTAGCTTAATCCGGCACTGTCAGCAACCATACTTCCTCGCTGGTAAACACAGCCACAATATAACTATGAACAAGGCTCGGTATGAGCAGTCACGATTTAACATACTGTAGTTTATAAGTCACATGCCATGTACATCATCTTGCAAGGTTCATATATGCTGACGACACAGCCCTTGCTACACAGGGCAACCCCTCGAGAACATTACCAATACTCTAAGAGCTAAGCTAACGTTTTGGGAAGCATATTTCTGTTGCTTGAGACTCTGAAAACATCGTTCCAAAACCACCACAAGCACTTTCCACCTGAACAATCACGCAGAAGATGCCACCATTGATGTGTCCTTCTGTGATAGCCCAGTGCATTATGACCCCTCTGCAAGATCTCTAGGGGTGTCCATGAACAGAAGCCTGGCCTTCAAGCCCCACGTAAAATAGTTCGGTGAAAAGACAAAAATAAATAATCGCCCTTCTACAGAACTTGCATGGACGACCTGGGATGTGGAAGAGTCACTGTGCACGAGCCTGGTCCGGGAGCTTGTCCACAAAACTGGGAGATGCACAATTAAAACTATGCACATCATAACCAGAACACTGAAACGGATACCAATCCCCTGGTCTCCCTGTCAAGGCAAGATTATAATATAATTGGTTGGTGTTGGCATATCTGAGACTGTTAAAGTTTTATTCATTAAGGTTCATTCTAATGTCACTGTGCCATGTGTGTATGTCACCTTTTGTTTTTTTTAAAGCTTGCATTGCATACATTTCTACAGAGTCAAATGCTTCTTCAGCCAACAAGAGGCTGGGGACAATGCTAATTTAAATGCATTTAGACTTTTCCAGAATTTGATGTAAGAGTGCGTATGTGGGCGATGGTGAATAAAATCCCATTACTCCCATTGTTGGTTGGCTTCTGTTTCATTCATCTGTTCCCAATGATCTTCATGAACCATGTTTAAA